AATAAAAAGTAAGAAAGTGAATCTAGAATATCCTTAGGAGTAAGCGTAGAATGAACCCTTTTGAAAAAAAAAAGATGCAAGTATAATTGATTTAAAAATCATTATGCGAATCATTTTAAGGTAATTTAAAATTTTTTAAAATCAATTTTCTAATTTATCAGGATTTTGACCGAGGGGAATTAGGAATTAGGATTATTACCAGGGAGATTTTGAGGGTGAGTGTAGCAAATTCCATGTTCTCCCTCTAAAGTTGGGATAAATTGATCGATGAGCGGATGAAGGCTCCGCTTCAGTTTGGCCTCTAAATGCTCTAAAATCTGCTCGTCGCTTGGATCGAACTTCACGCCCGCCGGAACATCCCAGCTCCGATGGCCACACGACCGGCAAATTAGGGTTCCACATCCAAATGCGTCGTCGCCGTCGTATGAGTATCTGCTTCTCAGTCTCAGATAATTACTTAATTCCATTATTTCCGAACTTGGAAGCGGCGACGTCGTTTTACTTCTCTCCCGAGAAGGCCGAAGAACATGAATTTGGGACGACATCAGGAGATTGCATATAAATAAATACAAACAAAATTGGGTTACTTGGACAAGAAGTTAAGTGGACCCTGCCTGCCGTGTTGCTCAAACTTTTATTACCCTTCCTAACAACCTAAAAATCTCGTGTCGGCTATTTTTTTTTTTATTTTAAATATTTATATATTTATTGTGGGAATACAGAAATTAGTTGAATAATATATTATTAAGCGTCTGCTACGTACATTATCCTACAGCTAAATAAGAGTGATATATATACTGTGTGATGCCCGCGTATGCATGAAATCAAAAACTTAATAGACCAACCAAATTTATCATTTTTTAATTATCTTTTTCGAACAAAAATAAAACAACAAGATTTAACTATTAATGAATTCTTAAACTTAAAAAGAAAAACGCGTCGTTAAATGTCAACCTAATTGAAGAGAATATTGTTCACCCCCTTTTTAGAAGAGAAACCTATTTTACTAACTTCAATCTAGCTTTATTGAATATTAATAATTTATTTTATAGGTGGAACGTTTGAATATTAATTTCCACATTTATGTTATATATTCCTATAAAAAAACTAACTTTAAATTAATATGAAACCTAAAAAAAATGTATAAATGTCTTTTTAAAGGAAAAAAGTGATGCATCTATTAAAATGAGAGAATTATATTGTTATTTCATGTCAACTTGACATAGTTAAATTAGTTAAGACATAAAAAAATATTATTTAAGATGGAATGTCTAAATCACCTTCACCTCACAATGAATTTATTAGATATCCAATATAAATTATTAAATTTACCTTAATCCATAAACTTAAACTTTTGGATTTATTGGTGGTTTATTCATGTTTAATTTACTATTAAAACCGCCAAAGTGAGCCTACTTCAGTGGTAATTGGCATATATCTCCAACCAAAGAGGTAGAATATTTACTCTCACCATAGGCTCAAAGTTTTTGAGATTCTCAAGAAAGGAAAAAAAAAAAACTATGTCATCTATAACAAAGTTTTATTTTCTTTATTTTTTTCCTTTCAACAATATTGGCCTTTAAATAAGATGGTATAGTTTTACAACTATTATTAAGGCATATTATACCCATTCAAATTCTAACTTTTGGATTCTTATCATTTTATCTCTTTTATTTGTTTTCTTTTCGACAGGTCTATAATATATAGCTTTGACTTCATTTTTTTTAATAACTAGTTTATAAAGAGGTTGAATTCATAATTTTATTAAAATACCAAATTTAAAAATGGTAAATTGAGGGCAAACTTAGAAAATGGTAATGTTAGTAATCCGGCCATATTTATAAATTTATTTGCCGTGATCTAGTAATTTATTAGAATGGTATTAAAAAATAAAGTATTCTTTACTATCAACAAATGTGATTTAATTATTACTAAATACAATATTGATGAAAGTAAATAATATGTATATATTTAAGTAATTTTAAAATTAGTTGGTGTTATATTCCATGTATATGTCGCAAAAATAAGGGACATTTACAAAGTAGAGCATTGTTATTATTTCTTTTTGGGAATCGTGCATGAATTCCATTAGAAATTAATATCTCTAAATAAACAAAAATATTTTAGATTAGTTATGAAATTCTGTAAGATATATATAATATCAATGCGGGTATTTAAATATAATTTGGGAATATTAGAACAAATTTAGGAAAATAGAAAGTGTTAGGAAGGTGCCAATTCAAGTTGTTGAGTCTGCAATAATGAGGTACAAATACAATATCTGTAACATGTCCTTTGTGCTCTGTCAGAAACTTGGAGATTAAGATTCAAAATCCATACCATCTTTAATTAGAAAGGCCAAGGGATAAAAAAAGAAAGAAGAGAAATAACATTCGATGAGGTACTCCTCTCTCTATATACAGTAAAATGTATTTTTGGTTAACTTTTGAAAAATTGGCTTCTATTTATTTTTTAATAAAGAAAAGAAAAATTATATTTTCCCCTTTAAGCTGCCAACGTAGTCTCGCATGTAACAAAAACATTTAGTAAAATTAGTAAAACAGTAACCACATTTAGTTTTTTTTTTTAAATATAGCACTTAAAAATGATATTCATCTGTAATATTATCCGTAATATATTTGACTAATGATATACATTTGATATAATACTGATATAAGTGTTTGATATGCCATTGATATACTACTTATATAAATGAAATTTTGTGTTATATTTGAAAATAAAAAAAAAAAACAGAATAAAAGATTTTTGTTACCTACTCCAATTTCTCTCATTTTTTTTAGTGATAGTTCCTACCTACAAATAAACACCTAAATACTATTATCTATAAAATCGTTCTAAATAATTCTAAGGTCAGAGTAATTCTCTAATTCAATTTTTAGGAGATATTAATTTCACCAATTATTTAAATTTAGAGTTGAATTTTTAGAAATTAAAAAGTTTAAAAACTAGGTATAGATATGAACTTTGGTTATGCTCTATATTTTAATCCAGCCAAAAATAAAAAGTCTAAGTACACATATTTGTCGTTCTCATGCAATTTTGATTAGAATAAAAATATTATTTGGTTGAATGCCAAAGAGGAAGAGACATCAATTTGGAGTTTGGAAAGAAACTTCCAACCACCATCTCCAAGTTGGTAAATCTTTATACAAGATTTCTATGCTCTTCTTTAGTTTTCTATGGAATTTTGACCATTTTTGAGTGATAATAATTTATTCCAATTAAAATGAAATTGTTTTATCTCTTGACAAATACAAAAGTCCAACAACTATATATTTCCTTCATGTAATTTTAGAGAAGAATTCAATTGTAATTTCTTCTACTTTTTGTCAAAAACGTGACATCGTTTGTTTCTTGACACGTCCCGAGTCTCTTTTAATGAAAAAGTAGAACTATAAATAAGAATGACAAAGATATAGAGGGAATATAATTTTATTGATCACAATCTAGCTAGCATAATCCTTATAGAGAATATTTCTAAAGTTTCCTTGTTTTTCACCTTATGTTTTAGGAATATTCTTGAACATTTTTGTCAACTTTTTAAAATTAAGAAAAGACAAGAATATAAAAGTAAAATAAATTTTTTGTCTCTGAATTTGAAGATAGATTTATATTATTTGACTTCTAAGTTTCAAAAACTAACAATTTAATCTCCCATATTTAAAAAATAGGTCTAAGACATCTATGGAGTCAAACTTCCTTTGATCAAATATAAGTGTCATCGAGCTAAGTTCATGTTAGCGACTTATTAGTCCTACCAACGTAGATTAATAGCTCATTATTGGAAAATTGTTTATTTTTTTTTCTTTTTAAACGGATTGGAAAATTGTATTTATTGAAATAAAAATGGGAATAATGAATCATCCACCGGTCTAGGTACGGAAGTCCCTTTAGTCAAACAACGAACCACGGCAAACGAAAAATAAAATGGTTGAAAGGATGGGTCCCACTCACCGCCAAACAAATTCCAACAAAATCCCCCTCTTTCTACGAAAATTCCAACAAAACCCCTTTCCAATTTCAAATATAAATAATGGTCGTGGTCAAAAATAATTTTTATTTTCTTCTTCTTCAGTTTTTCTTGCCAATTGAATCCACTTGATAATTAGATTTGAAGGAATACATTGAAAAAATCACACTTTGTAAAAGTCAATATCTCAAACTCTTCATAGTTTGTTAAAATATAAATTTTGTTGCGTAGTTTTATCAATATCCTCTCTCTAATAAATAAAATTAAAAAAAAATCAATTTTTTTTAATGGAAATACACGAAAGGAAACAACAGAAGCAAAAAAAAAATTAAGAAAATGCAGAAGAACAGTCCGCAGCAAATTTTGATGTTAAATTATTATTTATAATCCCGGCAATTAATATCAGTTGAAAAAATACTGATGCGATACTTTATTTGATGTGATTTGATAGTTAGTTGGATGAAAAAATAAATTTCATTTGAACTCCAATTTCAACATATTTATGTTTTGCGGACCGACAATCTCAAATCTAATTGATTCTAATTGTGTTTAACCCTTCATTTAGAACTCATCCGTTGCGTAAAGTAAACGAAATATTAGATGAGATGAACATAAAAAATGGAAAATTTTAGTATTAAAATTGTATAATTAAATATCTACAAAAGAAATCTTTGATTTTGAGGAGACGAATTCAAAATTTTGAGTCTTCAATCAAATCAAACGCATACCTCCATCTCCAAATTGTTCAAAATGGCGACCACTTGACCAATCACCGGCCGGCTCTTTCTACAATTCCCCACGCAGGCCGACGCCACTTTCGCCAATCTCATCATCGGCTTCAAATCCGACGGAA